AGAGAGAGAGAGAGAGAGAGAGAGAGAGAGAGAGAGGGAGAGAGAGAAGAGAGAGCGAGGAAAGACGTGTGAAAACATCTTCGAGGCTCTAGTTAATGTACGTTTTAATAGAAATACTGTAGTACTAATTCCTTTCAGTTATATGTTACAAGCACGAATAATTCGATCACATTTAATATGTTTGATATCATTTGACATGGTATTCAGATTAAGTTTATTATTGAAAGAGTTAATTGTTTTTTTATCTTCACGCAGTCGATCCCACTAGGACTTAATTATTCACACCATCATCGGATTATTGCCCTCAAAACAGGAAAAAAAATCGATTTGGAAATGTTATTCCATGTAAGTAGTTTGTTGCATTTTACCAAATGTCACATACGTCGTATTTAAACGTTGTTTCACGAACGTATTCGGCACACAGCTTCTGTTAAAACCCGCATTATTCGAGAGATGAATCTCACGTCACGTTGTTAGGACGCTTACATTATACTGTGCGTGTAAATAACTACAATTGATATAGTACGCAGTAACTGAATTATTATGTGTACTGTTATTATGTCCGGTTATTTGTCAGCAGTTATGTCATGCAGAAACCGAGATAATCAAGTGATTCCCATCAAATAGGAATAAACTTCTTTTCCCTTGCTGCATGTAAGCTCTTGCTTTCCAATATCTATTATTTACTAGAATCATAGGGTAATCCTGTGTGTTTTAATTGTTACTGAATATCATTATATGGCAGATGACCACTCAGAGTGATTCTGGAGCCAGCCGTCAATTCCACGGGTGATTACATTATGGCCAGCATTCTACAGGTTAGCATCATGTCATCGAAAATATCAACACGAAAACATACAAACAAACTCGTCCTTATCACGGATATCAATGTAATATCGATAATAGTAATAAGTGTATTCTAAGTAAGTCACAGTCTAATGAGCCGTGTATATATACATATATATCGTATTAAAAAACGCGCGTTTTCTTGTAGTACATGTCTCGTTTTTTGATTCGTGTTAATATTGAATTCGACTAGACACATGGCTTCATAATAATTAATGAGTTTGATTTTCTGATTTACTTGTTTAGGGATACTCGACAGACTCTGTCCTTCTGGCGGCTCAAGGTAAGAATAGAAAGAAGAAGCGCACAACACCCCGCACACACACAAACACAATATCACACACACACCACACGCAACACACACCACGCACACATCCCGCACACACGAGCAACACACACATTCACACACACACACACAACACACACACACACAACACACACACACACACACACCACACACACACACACACACACACACACAACACCAAACACACGCCGCACGCGCACACACACACACACAACACACACACACACACACACACACACACACACACACACACACAACACACGCACGCACGCGCACACACACACACGCACACACCACACACACACACACACACACACACACACACACACACCACACACACGTGCTCCTCGCCTTCATTGGTTTGACTTGTGCGAATAACTTGCAGGGCCTAAGAAAACCGAAATAGCGGATTTCTGGAGAATGGTGTGGCAACAAACGTGCGAAACCTTGTGATGCTGACTAGACTTCTGGAAAACGGCAAGGTTAAAACAATCGACGATTTCTATCATTAATATTATATGATCAGATATGGCGACATATATCCAAGCGGCAATAATATATATATATAATATATATATATATATATATTGTTGCTAATCTGGGATATCAAATTTCTCTTACACTAATCAATATATATATATATATATATATATATATATATATATATATATTGATTAGTGTAAGAGAAATTTGATATCCCAGATTTATTTGAACGTATAAGAAAAACGCAAAAACCACGTCGAATTTAGAAGAGAGGTCGTAGTATAGTCTAACAAAAATGTAATTAAAAATAGAATATCTGACATCAAATACAATCAAAATTCAACGGCAACTACATCTACTAGATATAACACGTCGCAGCTAAAGCTGAGCCGCTCTAGTTTTAAGTTAAGTGTATATGAAGTGAAGTGAAGTGTATACAATACTGGTGAAATGCCCCTCGGCTACAGACCATATACTCACGCGCTTTGCGCCCATATCGCAGGAAAAGTGTAGTCAGTACTGCCCGATGACGGCGCTGTAACATACGGCTCAGCGACAGTGGAGCTACTGGTAAGGTAGTGATGCCACACTACACGCTCCGCACGTTCTCCATAACGTCGGTAAGTTTGCGAGGCAACGTAGTTTGATTTCACCGCGTCGCACTATATAACGTCGCGTTATACAAGATATCACTTGGAGTATAGGTAGTTCGTATAAGGCGACACATTAACGCGCAGGGTTTTCCAGCTTTTCCAACGTTTCGTTTACTAGGTGGACACCGGCGAAACGAGAGAAGTGAACCACTTCCTTTACACGTCGTGGCCGGACCACGGCGTTCCTCAGTATCCGGCATCCATCATAAGCTTCATCGAGGCTGTAAAGGGAGCGCAGTGTGGCGTCGATGAACCGCTACTAGTCCACTGCAGGTTAAAACTTTCCGTACACACGTGCGCATGCACGCAGGCACACACACACACATTATTATTATTATTATTATTATTATTATTATTATTAGTAGTAGTAGTAGTAGTATAGTAGTAGTAGTAGTAGTAGTAGTAAGTAGTAGTAGTCGCAGTAGTAGTAGTAGTAGTGGTAGTAGTAGTAAGTAGTAGTAGTAGTAGTAGTAGTAGTAGTAGTAGTAGTAGTAAGTAGTAGTAGTAGTAGTAAGTAGTAGTCAGTAGTAGTAGTAGTAGTAGTAGTAAGTAGTAGTAGTTTAGTAGTAGCTCAGTAGTAGTGAGTCAGTCAGTAATAGTATCAGGCAGTCAAGAAACAATCATTTAAACATTAATAATATACACCTTAATAACTATGTATATGTTGTATGGTACATTGTGCGTTGTAATTGCGTCTAGCCGGGCGAGGCAGTGGAACTAATTGGCCTGTGTTTTGGCCTGGTGGTTCGTTATTGTTTTGGTAATGACGCGGGATGTACGGCACTATATATATATGCGTAGCCTCATGCGTCTCCTAGCCCCGCAAGGTCCGGCCGATAATGACGAAGAACCGGTCGGATTCAAATGTCGCCGGGCGATTTTGGGAATCATATAAATAGACACGCTCGGACAGACAGTCACGAGTGATTACCCAGAGGAGATAACGACGATGTAGAGCGATAGACGAAAACGGAGACGACGGGACCTAGGCACGGTCACCCACCTAGGTTGCCGTATGTATATATTTTGTATGTGTTCGAGTGACTAATAAAATCAGTCTTCAATAACAATCTGCTACGATGGATCATCTCTACTCCTTGTTGCAATCATCTACGTATTACGTACGTATCACGCTACGATGCTACGATATGCCGGAGCGGAAACAACAACCCTTTTTCACAGTACAATAATTGGTGGAGGATCATGGTCGTTCTGCATTCGCTACCTCTACCCAGCTAATCCCCCAGCTGAAGAAGAAGACCAGAAGAAGAAAAAGGAGAAAAAGATTCCGCATTCGCTACGCTAATCCCCCAGATGAAGGAGAGACATATATATACGTACCTCATCATATAGCCTCCAGAACCCGGACGAGCGGGTCGCACCGAGCAAGGTCGAGGAGCAGAGGAAGAAGAAATCTACACGGCGACGATAGGGTAAGCTACATCGTAATTTCACTGTATACATAGCCATAAATTCGGAAATAATTTATTAACAGTAAAATAGCTCGCCAATTGCCGAGCAGCGCGCGAATTTTCGTAGTTATAGCTAGCGTGGTATTCGAATTTCATTGTACGGCGTGATGGTGACTCAAAGCGTCGAAAGGAGAGATGTACATTAGTAAGCCTATGCGATGAGAAAGGCGAGACGCCTAGCCGCTTCTGAAGTATGACCTCGAATGTTGCAATTTAGGGAAGCCGCATTCGGCGTGTTATTATCCCTACCAACAGAGGCATACTATAGGGCACAAACTCACCATAGTGAGTAAATTAAAGTTGACGAATGAGCTAAAACAGCTCCGCCCGGGAATGGGTATACGTCCGATTTCGACACGCGTTGCGTCATTTTTGAGTCACGCGGCTGCTGCCGATACCATTTGGTCGATACCACGACATAGCAAAACCACGAATTCAAATTTTTAATAAACAAAGAGTTGGCTATATGTATCTGTGTTTACGATATGGCTTAACCGGTGATATCTGTATTTTTGTTTCGTCGTTTGTTTGTTTTCTTTTGATTAACAGATTTACTAACGTGTTGTACGCGGTAAGAGCTAGGTATCCTTGTTTCGCCATCCTTCCCTAGCCTTTCCATGCCGATTCGTGTTGAGTTGCAGACTGTCGACCACCTCCGGTGATACGAAAATGAGACGTCAATTTTTACTAGACAGCTGCAACAATATCCCCCTCAACCTGTTTCAAAACTGTTTGATGTTAGCAGCCTTAGACTAACGTTTTCAACTTTTAATGTTTTTTTTATGTATAACTGTATTTTCCTGGGGTCACGAATTATTTCAAGAGGGAAGGAAGGAATGTTGTATGGTACATTGTGCGTTGTAATTAACCAGGAGCGCTTCTAGCCGGGCGAGGCAGTGGAACTAATTGGCCTGTGTTCTGGCCTGGTGGTTCGTTGTTGTTTTCGTAATGACGCGGGATGTACGGCACTATATATATATGCGTAGCCTCACGCATCCTCCACCAATTGTTGTACTGTGAAATTGTGAAGATCTCCGTGTAGGTTCTGTAGCGTCGACAGCGTAGACTTGTCGCAACCGTAGATTGTATATAGCAAATAGCAGATTGTAGCAATAGAGTAGCAGCGTAGTCTTGTAACCACCAGTAGAGCTAGATGACGTAGTCGCATATTCGTTGTTGAACTAGGACTTTATTAGTACACGAACACATACAAAATATATACATACATACGACAGCCTAGGTTTCGTCCATATTGGAACCCGCCCGGCGTCTCTCCTCTCTGGCTCTCTACCTCCTATATCTCTCTCTAAAATCTTATATAGTCTCTGCTTGTCAATTGCTGTTTATATATAGCAGCTCGAAACCGGATCTAGCAGAAACTACTTTAGCAAAACCAGACCTTGGTGACAAGCAGCAAGCGATGCTGTTCCACGTCACAGCGCGTCGCGTCACCTGGCCGTCCAGCTTGTCACCGCTATTGTCCCCAACGCTATAAGCGTCGCATCAAGACGTGGTCACCGTTTGTCACCGCTTGTCAATTCAATACTGGCATAAGGTGCGACATGCCAAGCATCGCATCCTGTCGCCACCGTTTGCTGAATACAATATATATACACTTCAATGTTGTCTTGTTTTTTCATGTAAGTGTTAGCGGTTACATAGTACTAGTAGCTACATGGCCGCGTGTGTATGTGGAATGGCGTTAGTGGGCAATTACCATGCATAAGAGGACCGTGATAAAGCTAGTTGCGTAGCTCAGGGGCCTAACATACGAACTGTCAGGGAAAGGAGTGCTGGCGCGTAAAAATTCGGAATGTTTTCTATAACTGTTGAAGCAACTGGGCATCGATAAGTTTTCCAGAAGTATGCAATAGAATAGTGGTCTTTCATGATCCCTAGGATACATTGCGGTCAAAAAATAAATGATTTCCGTAAGTCAGCTTCCGTAACTGACTACATTTCTTTCGCAAAAGGTAGCCCTAAATTTAATAAAAATAAATTCAAATGAAGCCCATCTAAATCTATTGCCGTCGTTTATCGTTATGTTTTGTAGACGATGTGTAGGTAATATAATAGTATTAGTAGTTGTAAGTATAGTAGTGGTAGTAGTAATTATATTAGGAGTTGTGTTTGTTGTCGCAGGAGACGCGACGTGACACGACCGTGCTGGCGACACAGATACCGTTGCCGACCACGGTCGCTGACTTTTGGACGCTGGTCGTCGAACATAACGTCTCGCAGATAGTCTCGATGGAGACAGCGCCACCTATGGATCAGGTTAGGCATTTTCATAGCGTCGCATTCAGGCACGGCTCTAGTTGAGTTGCGATTTTCTTGATCAGGTATCGTGTTCTCGTCATTTATTTCAGTTACAACGTCTTCATTAGATCTTCAGTTATCTACGTCTTCAGTTCATCACGACTAGTCATTTGCTTCAGTCATTTTTTTCAGTCACGAATTAGTCGAGCGTGGATTGCGGCCTGAAATCGTGGGTGTTCGTGTGAGGTGATGTTCGCTTCTGATTTCAGACGTGCGCTCCATATTTTCCGACCGAGGATATCGCCGTGTTGACTGACGGTGCTTTCCGAATCGATTACGTAAAGACAACGCAGCTTGATGTTGGCACAGTCACTCACTTGGAAGTGCTTAATCTGAAGGATGTGAGCAAGTTTCGAATTTATATAGCGTGCGGTATCGAGTGGGGCACTGATTAGGCCAACGTCTCCTTATCGCAACGTACTGACCAAAAACGCGTATGATTACAACGTACGCGCGTATAGGCGCTACATTCCCGCGTACTTACACGGAACAATTGAAGGTACTATAGCTACTAATGACGGGGGTGTGAAATAGGTTACTAACTAACTGAAAAAATGAATCTCATTTCAACGAGTTCTTAATCCATGTTATCGAGCGGTGTCGTGCTTATGGTTCACATAATATTTGCTGCAGAACGCTATGGCGCCGCGATCCGTGCGCCATCTAGAGTTCAATGCGTGGTCAGCCAGCAATAAGACACCAGATACCCCGGCGGCAATGCTTAGTCTCATTAAACACGTGGCCGACTGGCAACATAAGACGAGCGACAAGAAAATAGTAGTAGCCTGTAGGTGAGTGGGTCATGTTGCATGCTGTGTCGTATTTCTCGTTAAATTAGCAGAGCGATACATATACCCCGACCCCACCACCACCACCACCACACACACACGCGCGCGCGCACACATATATATATATTCAGCAGAGGGTCGTCAGCCGGTGAAGAAGCGTGGGTGCAATAAAGAGAAAAGGCGAGAGAGAAAGAGAAAGCAAGAGAGCAGGGGGAGCAGAAAGAAAGAGAAAGAGAGGGGAAAAAGCGCGAGAATGGTGTATGTGAGTGTGCGTGCGTGTGTGCGGGCGTGCGTGCATGCGTACCTTTTTGTGCTGGATTCGCACATGCCCTAACGATTTTACAGAGATGGCGCTTCGAGAAGTGGGCTTTTCGCAGCGTGTTGGGAGATATTACATAGATTGGAAACCGAGCAACTGGTCGGAGTATTCTCTGTGTGCCTCTACCAACGCCAATTTCGGCCCCAATTCATTCCCAATTTGGTAAGCTGATACTATTAAGAATTTTTTCATTTTTCTAATGATCTTGCTTGTTTTCCTTCGTCCTTGCGACTACCACGTCGTGTATAGTTCGACCACTCTTGCATACACACATGTTACTTATATGTCCCTCCCCCGCAATATTTTTTTTTATATCTAGCCTCACTTCTTCTACGTGCACGCAGCTGAGTTCTACCTCATATATGTCACCCCACTCGTATTGCAACGGGTAATATAGTTATTGTACTGCAATTCTCTTCTCCTTCCCTGTAAATCTTACAATCAACTTACCGCCAACCGTATCAAGTTCCTAATAGTTACTGATTGAATCGCACGCGAACAATCCTGCCAGTTATACGTCGCTCCTAGGTAACTTAATCTCGTACTGTTTCTATTACTATAGGCCCAATACGAGTTCTGCTACATGGCAATCGACCGGAAACTGGAAGACTATGAGATCTATTCCAACTTCCGTTAGTTCGAAACACTGGTGGTTTCTTTCGTCATTCGGACACGCTGGGATAATCTTTAGAATTTCGCGAACTTGTTTATATTATTAATTATGTAGCTGTACCATACTATACCGATGGTAAACGAAATGTGCACATAGCGTTAGGAGTTAAATACGCGCGGAGAACAAATTTACATTTGGGAGTAATTAATATAATTGTCTAAATACAAAAGCAATGCCAATGATAGTTTACTAGTAGTGAGTGTAAACTTTTTAGATCAGATCTAAAAAACACTAAAAACGCGTCATTCCTAATTCTTTCTCTAAAAGTGAGTGCCCGATTCTCGTGGAAACATACACATGTGTGTAGCGAAGTTGCTTGCGTACCGTGATCGTATTAGTGGTTACGCGTGGGTGTATATCTAACACCCTTTGCTAACGTCTATTAAGCACATAGTGAAAAGAGCACAACAGCAGTGGTATACGTATTCTAGTTATTCTCTTTAATCGTTACCTCTTAACTATGTATAATCCCACAACAGGGCAATCGCGTACACCAGGGTTACGCGAGACACGTCATAACTTACGAGGCTAATGCTGTGACGTCCGGTTATCTATCGAATGTGCAGTATATATATATCGTATTCTGTCTATGTTTTGCGAGCTCTCTGTCTGTTCTTCTCTCTCGCCAAGCAAGAGATTTTATACCCAAACTGGAGACCCACCTACCTATTGTTTATCGTCAACCCTCTATACGCGACTGCCTGTAATTGGTTGCCTCTACTAACTGGCTGGTACATGGTCACGACTTTACACAGCTGGGCATGTACCCAAAATAGAACAATAGCATAATAGTGTGTATTTCTTACTATGTATTTCTGCGGTATTACACTATCCCCTCCTGTTAGAAAAAGTTGTAAGCTACAGCTATGCGGCGAACAACGTAATAAAAAATAAATGGTGTTGCGTTCACTTGAATACGTATATTTTAAAATGTTTGTTTGTTTCTTTTTTGTAATCGAAAGGCTAAATTTCTGTGCACGTAAACTATAAATTTCTCTATTATATATATTTTTTTTCTCTTCTATCATTCTACCGCTTATGAATTTACTATTACTATTATTATTTTGTTATTTGAAACCTTCCACCTAAGTTCTACTTAACTACCTTAACTAAAATTTATCTTAACTAAAATGCATATTTATTTTATTTTATATTTTATTAAATTTCCTTTTTTCTTTTTACGTTACTTTATGTTTATTAAAAATGAAATTCTGGCGTAGTCGCCGTCGTCGTCGTCGTGGTCCGTGGTCCGGCGTGGTGGTCGCGGTCGTCGTGGTGATGGTCGTCGTCGTGGTGGTGGTCGTCGTCGTGGTGGTCGTCGTCGTGGTGGTGCTATTGGTCTCCGAGCGCCACCCCGAGAAGTGGCGCCTCCTCTATCGGTACAATTTGGATGGCACAAGCATCCTCGCTGATGTGCACCACCGTAAATCCCGGGTTGAGGCGCCGGAAGCGGAGCACATCATCATAGAATGCGGTCCAGTTCCTGTACATGGTCTGTCCAGGACAGCCCTCGTAAATGAGGCGGGGCCTCAGAGACGGGGGTCCGCCTGTAGGATAGAGTACTGCACCAGCCGTTCCCCAGCTGCCCCAGCTAGGAGGGGGTGCAGTACGGGGTGCCTGTGAGGGCGGCGCGACGTACAGTGGCTCAGGGGCGGCAACTCGACCCGCTGGCGTTTGAGTGGCCGATCGCCCGTCGAATACGTGATGAGGATGTCGTCTTCGTCGTCGCTGTAGTAGACGTCCTCCGGACAGCAATTCATGATGAAGCTGACTGCTGGCTGGCGGTGTATGCTGGCGAGAGGCTAATGCTGTGACGTCCGGTTATCTAGCGAATGTGCAGTATATATATATATCGTATTCTGTCTATGTTTTGCGAGCTCTCTGTCTGTTCTTCTTATTTTATACCCAAACTGGCGACCCGCCTACCTATTGTTTATCGTCAACCCGCTATACGCGACTGCCTGTAATTGGTTGCCTCTACTAACTGGCTGGTCCATGGTCACGACTTGCTGGGCATGTACCCAAAATAGAACAATAGCATAATAGTGTGTATTTCTTACTAGGTATTTTTGCGGTATTACATGTGTTTATCCGACAGAGAAAGAATAGAAGTAAGCACGTTATTGTGTTATTATTTCCTAGCTGTTCTAATTTTTATATTTGTTAAATAAAACATAAATTACCAACGCTCATTTGCGTCCCTTTCTCTAAGCAAGCACGACTTCATCAGTATGCATTACCATTCCAAATTGATCTCGCACAGTTGAGCGTCGCTAACTCGATATACACCTACATGAAAAGGGCGTTATTGCTCCATTATATTGCTCATAAAATGGGAAGCCTTAGATTTCTTGCGGCGAGCTAGCGTTATCGTAATTATTTGTGAATTTGTTCGCATAAAAAATACTCGTAAGAGAAAAAAATCTTCGTTAATTCGATCGAAAGTTTCATTTAGAACAAAATATAAAACACGAATTAAACTAAATTTCCTCACCTAATTCTCATACACGCAATACGAAAGACAGTAACAGTTACGGAAACCTTGTAACAAACACTCTCCTCTCTCCTAACAACGATGGAGAGGCCGTCTAGCACGGATGTGCATGCACGTACGTGTTCGTGGGCGTGCTGTCAGTATGACGTCTCAGCCGACCTCCCAGCATTCGCATAGACTGGTTATAATTTCTGACGTGCGTGTATAATATCAAGAGTTCATAATAGAAGACTGTTAGACTAGAATTTCTATTAGGGACTCTTGATAATAATTATGTCGTACGCTAGTTATTCGTGTGATCATTCGCGCACGCGTGTCCGCGCACCCACGCACACCTGTTGTCGCCGCTACGCGTATATATAGCGAGCGCGCGCGCGCGGTGCCTTCTGACAGCACACAAACAGATCGATAAGACATTTAGCGCGCGTGCATGCCCGACACACGCATCGCAACAATGATTGCCACGTAGGCACAGAATAACATATAATAAGCGAGCGTCAGCGGGATACTGCGTACGCGAGCGCTCACATATCAGATGCATTGTCACGGACGGAAACGTCGAGAAGAACCGTGCATCGTCGCATTCTCTACGGCGTCGGTCGCCGTTGCCAACGCGGCGTTTAGCTATTACTAGCCCACGGCTGCAATACGCGGCGGCGACAGCGGATTTCATGTTCGTCAGATATAATATCTCCCGCTCACGTGGCCGTCACAACAACAGCTGCGCGGATTACACGCGCATGCACCCGCACTTGTGCGATTGCGAGGTAAGGAGGACTGTTTACAGGCACAATTAGGGGCGCGATTACAGCGCGATTGCTGCTACCTGTGCGGGTCTCTGACTCACACGGCGGGTAAGAGCACGAGGTGCGCCATCAGAGCGCTGTACGCGCGTAGCAGCTGCGCCAGCCAGGCTACTATAGCTACTACTACTACTACTAGCTGCCACCGGACGTGAACACACATCCTCCTTTGATCACTTGTGACTGGTGTGAACTTCCGCTGTATAGACGTTGCCGAGAAGACTAGCTCGAGGTCGTGTGAAGGAGCAGCAGGCTCCGCTGCGTCGAACAACAACAACAACGACGACGACGACGACAGCGACGACGACGACAGCGAAAACACAGACACAAGAGCAACGCGAAAACTCCAGGTAACTATAAATATGCTATACTATACGTGGGGTGACTCAACCTGCATGTGCTGAAAAAAATTGATATAAGAAACTATATCATTGTATTATATATATAATTATATATATATATATTATATTCTGAGTTATTAGTGCAACACGATATATATGTATATGAACATAATTATATGTATATATGCGCGCGAAAGAGATCGAGAGCACATGAGAGAGAGGAATAGAGAGAGATAAAAAGAGAGAAAGAGAGCGAGCGAGAGAGAGCGGAGAGCGAGAGAGAGAGAGAGAGAGAGAGAGAGAGAGAGAGAGAGCAGAGAGAGAGAGAGAGAGAGAGAGGAGCGAGAGAGAGAGAGGAGAGAGGAGAGAGAGAGAGGAGAGAGAGAGAGTAGAGAGAGAGAGAGAGAGAGAGAGAGAGAGAGAGAGAGAGAGAGAGTGTGTGAGAGAGAAGAGATGCAGTGTTTTTTTGCAGACTGAACAACATTGCCTAACATCCATTGAAATTGTTGGTAATAAGATATTCTGCGCGTGATGTAACATTTCGTGCTGTACGTAAGAAGGCGGTGGAAGATACGTAAACGCGTGTGTGTGCGTCTGTGTGGGCGCGCGTGCGTGCGTGCGTGCGTGTGTCCACGCGCACGTGCGTACTACCGTTCGTCCGTTCGTTCATGAGATCGTGCATGTGGGCGTGCACGCATGTGGGCGTGTGTTTCTGCGATCACGCACGCGCAGGTTTCTGCACGCATAGGCGTGCGCACGCGTGTATTTATGTGCACGCGTGTGTACGTAACTGCGCGTGTGCTTATCTGGCTAAATATACACGAGATTGTTACAGGTAGTGAGCGAACGTGTGATAACAGATCGTCACTCCCAGATCTTCCTTACAGATCGGAGATTCGGAGAGCTGCGATGTATTTGGGAATGAGCTCAGTTGATCAGCTACTGATAATGGCGGCTGCAGCTGTCCTTGTCATCTTGTTTCTCATCTGCATGATATGTAAGCTGAGTCCAGACTGTTGGCTTCACTACAACTGCCCACTGAGAATCAAGAGCTTAGAGCGTGAGTGCAAACTAGCTCAACGTGCCTATACGTTGTTACTATTATATAGGCTACTCCTCTTTTGTACACGAGAAATAGTGCAAAATTTGCACTTTTGCACACGGTGAACAATTTGCGGAGGGTTACTGTTGCATGCCTCCTTTATCTGCGTAGCTATTATTATCGAAAATGATTAGCCTGATGTTATTGTTACGACTTCCCGGAAGGTAGCGTGTTTACGTACTATCGTATGACAACGCCTCGAGCCTCCGTGCATTGCCCTAATCATATTATCTCAGAGAGGCTGATTTGTATTTCAGCACGAACAGCCTCCGGGCTCAATGGTAATTACAAATCGCTTGGGAACGAATTCGAGATGACACAGGTGAGGCCCACGTGGTGGGATCGCAGCGGCAGCGTTAATCTGTCGCGCCACAGCAGCAGCGAGGACAGCATTGGATCGGCATGGTCGGGCGCCAGCGAACAGAGCTCAGCCTCTCAACAGCCTGGCTCACCGGTAAACATGTACTATGCGTGCGCGTGGGTGCGTGCGTGCGTGCGGGTGCGTGCGTGTGGTCGTGTGTGCGTGCTTGGTTTGTCCCCTGCATCTACAGATATCTGGTGCGGTGGTCGTTTCTAGAGTAATGCGCGCTTACGCCGATTTGCGTGGATTTTGCATCTCATTTCCAATCTGTAGGTTTTACCTAAGAGCTTGGTAATCGGCAGCTTCACACCTCAATGACATCGAGTGATAAGCTCGTCGAACTCACATCGGATAGTGCGGTGGATCTAGGTATATCGTAGGCCTCCGCGCAGGCACACGCACACGCATACGCACGCACGCATATATACCACATACATCCATAATTTATTCGCATACATCTATTCTTCCATCATCAATCTATCCTACCATCCATCTATCCTACCCATCCATCCATCCGTCCGCACGTCCGTCCGTCCGTCAGTCCGTTCTACCGTCCGTCCGTCCGACCGTCCGTCCGTCCGTCCGTCCGTCCGTCCGTCCGTCCGTCCGTCCGTCCGTCCGTTCGTCCGTCCATCCATCCATCCTTCAATCCATCCATTCATCCGTCCACCCATTCATCTGTCTAACCATCCATTCGTTCATACCTTATATGAGCTGACGCGTATTTTAACGCAAAGTCTTGAATCTGCGAAACATTGCAGATGAAGCACAAACTAGACGCGCACGTTGCTGCTGAGATGGAGAACACGCCGCCGCTCGGCTACACCCCTCCGGAGCCTCGCAGCATGGGTCACCTTCAGCTCGCCATTCTCTACGTCGACAACGAGCAGAAACTGTTCATACGGCTGAACCGCGGCCGAGACTTCGCGCCGAAGCTCTACCGTTCGTCGACAGTCTGCGACCCGTTCGTGCGCGTCATCGTGAAGGGCAAGGCTGGGTTCCGTACGTCGCTGCGGCCGGGCAGGCAGCCGAGGCAGCGACTCGTCACCTTCGAATTTCAAACGCAGATCCACCGCAACACGGCCGACCCGGTGTTCAACGAGACGTTCGTTATGGACGTCAGCCGCCAGGTGGTGCCTCAGTGCACCGTGCATCTGCTGCTGTGCGACCACGACAGCATCTCGTCGCCGGACGTCGTCGGTCAGGCTTCGGTCAGCCTACGGGAGCGTGACCTTAGCAGTGAGCAGGAGGTCGCAGTTGAGTTTTCGCAGAACACTAAGGTATATAATGTCGTGCACTAAAAAAATGTCGTATGGCGAGATGGATTGGCTGCTTCACGTGGCTTGCCGAATGTTTGCATTCAGCAGAGGGTCGTCAGCCGGCGAAGAAGCGTGGGTGCAATAGAGAGAAAAAGCGAGAGATAAAGAGAAAGCGAGAGAGAAAGGGAGAGAGAGAGAGAGCGAGAGAGAGAGAGAGAGAGAGAGAGAGAGAGAGAGAGAGAGAGAGAGAGAGAGAGAGAGAGAGAAATAGAGGTGAAAAGTGCGAGAA